CAATGGCTGTTTGTTACTATTCATACACAGTGCATGACTCCAGTCTAGCACCACATCTGACTTTGCAATCCCAGCATTAGAGTGAAAGAACCAATACCTCACCTATAATCCGTGCTCTGTACCAATTCCCATCTTTCTCTTTTGCCATACAGGCTTGGCCTTCAACTGGGCTGAAAATTTCCAAGTTCTTCCCATACTCATGTTTATACGCATCCTGGATTTTCTTTGCAAGAGGTAAACAATCCAGGCTCTCTCTCTAAAATAAGACAAACAAAACATACATACACACCAGATGTTCTTGGATATTTTTCCTGGTAGTGTACCTCCTAGTTTCCCCCTCCCCCAAATTAAACAGTGCTTATAAACACATAACATGAATTACAGAGCCTAACAATTGTTGAATATTGCCCTGTTCAATAACCACTCTAAACAGTAAAAACACTACATACCCACAAAGGAATTAACCATGTCACAAAACTGACCAAAAATGTTAACTTTCTGGAATTCTAAGAATTCCTGTAACTACTCTAGGATTAATCTAGGATTTTATGAATTAATCTACTCTATTAATTCTAGGAATCCTGAAACTGGTAATAAGTGACAGAAGTTAATGGTATTTGCAGTTTATTTAATGTGGACTACAAGTAGCTCAACATTAAAATGTTTGTTCAGACTTTTAGATAAACTGACCTTATTTCTCAACTTACCAACTGGAGATAGAAGTCACTTGGACTATTAATGTGACAAACGACAACAGAGACGACTTCTCTTTCTTGTGGAATCTTAGGTGGACTATACCGCAAGACGATACTGTCTTCCAATGGACTGAGAGGCTGTGATCTAAACCTAAGGTAAACAAAATGAAATTCTGAATAAATTCTGTCAAAACTAAGTGAGAATCATATAATCACAGAATGGTTTGGGTTGGAAGGGAAGGAACCCTTTCATATTGAAATGTCAAGTTTTCCATGAAAAATGGTCTTATAAAAGTAACTTGATTCATGGTTGCACGAGTAGCTTGAACTTTCCTTCTTGCAGTTGGTGCAGCCAATTTTCTGTAAGGCTTCTAAACTGTTTAAAAAAATAAAGTGGAAGGCTAGAATACACTACGTTGACAAAAGCATTTTCTTCTACATTTCGTTTTCCTCACTTAGGAGAAAAAGCAATTACCTGAGGAATACAGATGCAGTAAAAAATTATCTCCCAGTGTTCTCACCGCCATAACTAGTTATGCTCAAACATAAAGCCCTTTCTCTGGAGCAAAAGGAACTGTAATTTCCTACAGCTTTCCATGCCCTACCCTTGTACGGCATGCAAATCTATACCACATCCCCCAAACTACTCATGTTGTCTATCTCCTGCCTCCTCCCTGGTCCCTCCAACGCAGCTCTCCTCTGCCCTAATGCCACCATCAAGCTCCCCATTGTGCCCTACTGCTGTTTCTCCTACTTGCTGTGCTATATGCGTTACGTCACGCGGCTGTTCAGATATGCTGACTAGCCTGTCCCAGCCTACTGGCCAAATCAAACAGATACAAGGCTGAGTTTTGTATGTTTTTCTGTCCGTGGCAGACACTAAGGGCTTCTCCTTTTACCCCCTTGTTTGAATCAAACTTGTACAGCAATGTAAATTTTGTAATTTTCTAAAATAAAGTTCATTATCCAAATAAAGCCAAGACTGGTGCAAATGGCCAGCACGCTATGCCGCAGCGCTTACGAGTGAAGGTGAAAAAAGGAAGTCAACAGACACTGCTGAAGATTACTACATCACACACTGATACACTGATACATCAAACGCTACAAAAACAGCCTGACTGGTAAACTTCACTCTGTAAGTATTACACCCTTTCTATTTATGGCATGAGAGCATAAACTAAAGGAAAACACATACCTTGCCAAGTCTAAGAAAACTAATGCATCCTTGAGAGACACTGGCATGTTACTTCTTACTTTATTAAATGGAGGTTTCTTCAAATCCACAATGAGAACACCATCCTCTTCTCTAAATACGGTCATTAAAACAACTTTATTATTTACCATTCCTAAAAATTCTGTCTTTGCTTCCTCTCCCCAACCTTCACTCTGTGTTAGGAAGACACAACACATTACTGAAGATGTTAGAGAATGTTAAAACAAGCTGTAATTAACCTAAAATAAAATAAAATAAAATAGAGGCAAGGAAGGGAGCACAAATGCATCTGAACAGATGAAATAATGAACATGCTGCTAGATGCTGTTACCAGGACAGCACTAAACTGTATTTTTCTATGACAGACTTCTAAGTGGTTTTAACCATGTAAAAGCGAGTCAGATCAAAAGGCTGCAGCTTCCACCACATTTCTTTTAAAGATTCAAGTTTTCACCACTTCTGATTCTTCTGATAGATAAAGCAGAATTGTCATAGGCGGTTTCACCTCATGACTCCCAATTTGTTTGGAATTTTATTCTTCTTGTGTCTATACAAACTTACAAGATAGTTTGGTCAATTTACACATTTCTCCTCCCCACAACATCCTTCTTGACCTTTTATCTACCTTGAAAAAGCCTGTCTGAAGTTATTTCTCTTGGATCAAGTTAATGCATTTCTCATTTGATACTGCAAATCCGTGCTTTTTAGGCGTGAAAGAAATGAAAGCACATACAAGGAAGGCCTATTACCCACACTTGTGAAAACTGTTCCAGATCTTTCCTATTTAAAGCTATTTCAGACATCATCAGACTGGTAAAAATACCCCAGACCAACCAGCAGTCATACTGTCAGAAATGCACAGCTGCACTGGACATAGTTCGCAGGAATAAAGGCCAACAGTATTGTATTTGTTATTATACTGAAAGAGAACAAATAACACTTTTCAATATGTGGCAAAAAAGAGTATGTTAGAAAGGACAACCCCTGAAAACATTCTCTTAATTTTTAAGTGATTTTCTTCTCTGTTTGGATGATTCTTGGAAGTCACTACTTGAATGCAGTTATCAGCCAGCATGAAATAAGAATATCAGTTCTGTAATTTGTTTTTAAATTTGACAAAGAACTGGTCTAGTGTAAGAGTAGTGAGATTTAAACCTGAAATATGTGTTTATAAACCCAGAGGCTTTTTAAGACAGACTGTTATAAGCGCTTGTTTCCTTTCCAATGAAAGCAATGCAACCCACCTTTTTACAAGAGATTATTTAACTTAAAAAAAAAAATATATATATATCCTGTACTCCTTTCGAGTTTTCTTCTGTTTATATTAGGGTAAGATAGTTGTAAATGATGTATGTAAGTTCTTCAATATAAATCTTAGGAAGAAAAAAACCCTCCTGAAATAGTATCAACTGCTTTTACTTACTGCATTTTTGGGAACAACATCCTTCAATGAACAGCACACAGCTAAAGGAGGAACAGCTGCAAGTTCTGCCTCAATACACTCATCGGGCTTCCTTACCAACAAACAAAAGTCATCTGTTTCAATAGTTTGTAAAGTAGCAGGTTCAGGCCTTTCAGCAAAAACATACCTATAGCCAAGAGGAACAAAAGCAGTACTAGCTTAAAAGAAAAGCAGTAAAAACCCTAAGAGAAAAAAAAAAACCCCAAACCAAATCCCAGATTTAAAATAAAGGTCATTATTGCAATAACTGGCATAATGTCATTGAAACAAAACTAGATAAAGTCTCAATGAAATGTATTCCCTCTCCCTTTTTTTTTTTTTTAACATTGAGGACTCAAAATGCTTTCTTTTGCAATGCAAGTTGAAGTTAAATGTTTTAAGGTAAGAAGGCTTATACACTTCCTTACTTACATACACTGCCACCTTCCTGTGGGAAATGCCTACACAGATAACATTACAGTAATTTAGATATCTGGTTATCTGCTAGTGTGAAGCTGATGGAGGACTTGTTACTTAGTGGAGATCCTCCTGAGTAGCAGTCAAGGACAACAGCGGACAAAAACCTGACTCTGTAAACATACCCTGAGAAAGTTAGAACGACAGAGCTCCCAAAATCAATCAGGAATACTTCCAGCAGTGCAATATCACAAACTCTGTATCTTACTGGACCGCAAGGCTTTTTCCTCTCATTTTTACTTTTTAGGGGAATTAATTCAGTGATAGTTCCACGGCACCACATTCCAGTTTCCTTACTCTTAATCAAAGTTATAGCACCTACATGGAAGCAAATAAACAAAAAGACTAAATAGAATATCTGTAGATATTTAACACTAGAAGTATTACTACAGTTCTGCATAATGTTCTATTGTTGCTTATCTTCCACATGGGTAGTAGAAGTGCTACTGCTAAAATAAAGACACAAAGACATTAAAAACTTTGTCTCGATAACCACCAGCAGTTTTCTCCCCACATTTGCTTACATGACGTCAGAATGGCTAGGAGGTGTTCAGCTCGTATTGAGAAGTCACTTCTGGCAAACCTTCTACAACTCTCAGTACCATGGCAAAAAAACATTGAAGTTGAGGGCTATTACATACCTTTGATCAGTTTTCTAGACACCTTCTGAAAGTGAGTGGCACTGTCAGTGTGTGGGCTAGAAAGTAGTTTAATGATTTAGCAGTGCATTGTCACCTTTGTTTTTTACTTGCAGAATGGTTTCTATCCAGCCAGTGAACTTTACAAATAGCATCTATGCACTCAAAGGGAATGTTGCGAGCACCAAAGAAAGCTGATTTGCTGAAGTAACAAAAGCACTAGGCTAGTCATTAAAATCAGTATACTGATTTAAGAACCATCAGTTAACAATTACCACCTAATGCTGAAAAGCATTGTTTACAGCCTAGTGTTTCAGCTGCTGGTCATGCACAGCACCCAGTTTAGTGAGGCTGAAAACAACTGTGGAGTCTTTTTCCTTCTACTATTTCCATTTATATGGTTTAACAAAAGTTTATTTTACCAAACATACAATGTTTCCCAAAAAGCACTAACTGTAGATTCCAGAACATGTAAGGACTGCTTTACATGTAAAGGGGGACAGGGGAAAGAGAAAAAAAGGAATACTACCCTAAGGAAGAAATACCTCAAGGTAGTATTTTAAACGAATAGGGACCTTTAAAAATTAATAATTTACCTAGTTCCAAAACATCTGAAGGCAAGAGATTCATACTGTTATTACAACAAAACTTTTCCAATTTCTTCTCCAAAAGCCCTGCTTCTTTCTTCTGCGAGTATCTCCGAATATAGAAGTGGCATGGATTTATAACATGGCTCACAAACACTAGTTCTGTCGAACCTGGGTAATAAATAAAACAGACTATCAAACACTCTCCAAGTGACTCCAACCGATATTATTAGACATGTGGTCAGGTTTATGTTGCGTTAATCATGGTAACATTACCTCAAATAGCTTTTAATCGGAAAAGTCTGCTCACCCCTGTTTCCAACTAGTCACCTTGCTTGCTTTCTGACCAAACCGGCTCTTTGAACTACCTCCCCTAAGCTGCCCGGCTAAACAAAAGGCTGTCTGACTGCTTACAAAGTGGTAGCCTGAATTTAAGTAGGTCATTCAGAGTCTGTATTCCCTCTATTTAACAGAGAAATAGGAAGCTTCTAGAAAGCAAATTAGAGAGATTAAGAGTCCTACCTCTAAGAAGAGGTATGCTAAGCACTTTCATATAGGTATTCAGTGATAATGCATGAAGATCAAGAAATGTCCTAAAGACACCCAAGAGATCATAGAATCATAGAATGGTATGTGTTGGAAGGGATCTTAAAGACCATCTAGTTCCAACCCCCCTGCCATGGGCAGGGACACCTTCCACTAGACCAGGTTGCTCAAAGCCTCATCCAGCCTGGCCTTGAACACTGCCAGGGATGGGGCATCCACAGCTTCTCTGGGCAACCGGTTCCAGTGATTCACCACCCTCTCCGGGAAGAACTTCTTCCTGTTATCTAATCTAAACCTCCCCACTTTCAATTTAAACCCGTTACCCCTTGTCCTGTCACTACAGGCCCTTGTAAAAAGTCCCCCCCAGCTTCCTTGTAGCCCCTTCAGGTACTGGAAGGTGGGAGCCTTCTCTTCTCCAGGCTGAACAAGCCGAACTCTCTCAGCCTGTCCCCATAGCAGAGGTGTTCCAGCCCTCTGAGCATCTTTGTGGCCTCCTCTGGAGTTGCTCCCACTGGTCTATATCCTTCTGATGCTGAGGGCTCCACAGCTGGACGCAGCACTCCAGGTGGGGTCTCACAAGAGCAGAGTAGAGGGGGAGAATACGCTTGCTCGACATGCTGGCCACACTTCTGATAAAGCCCAGGATATGGTTGGCTGATGACCATATACATGAGAATACTTCTGCCTAAGCACCAAAATTCTCTGCACTGCAGGTACCTCCCATGATTTGCGTTCCAAAATGCACGTTTCTCTTTTGGAAGCTAGTCACCAAAGGCGGTAGATGGGTCAGAAGGCTTCAGAAGCCCCGTAACTCAATTCCTACAAGAGTATTTCACGCCACAAAACTTACTGCAAAGTGGATAGCATCCTCTAGACTCAATGCCACCTGCATGACTGATTTGCAGCATCCTAGATCACTGCCATCTCTGTGCCCATCTCTCAGCTGCAGTAGGTCTGGGCAAAAGGTGATACAAAGAACCTGGAATTTACAACATTCTGAGCATGTATGCAGAAGTGTGCTTGGAAGTTTAGGAAATGCAGTGTCCAGAACAGATCCAAGATTACTCTTGGGCATTTCCAGTGGAAAAAATGGTATCTGAGTAAAAAGTCTGAATGACTTTAAAGATTTCAGCCACAGGTGCACTAATGCTTCTGGATCACCCTGGGTCACCACCTCCAATGATGTGGTGAGTCAGCTAGCTTGTCTGAAGTAGACCAGAAAAAGCATGTATTAACACCCACTTCACTACAAGAGAGGAAGCTGACACCTCTAGCCAGGAACAGTAAAAGGAGCGAGGCCAGTTCTGGATCACTAGAGCCAGATGGATCCAGAAGAGATGTCTTCAAGCTGTTTGAGAATGTTCCTTAACCTAAAGACAAACAATAATTCCCAACGAACCTCAGCTCCCTGAAAAGCATTTGAAAAATTTATCAAATACTATTTCTCGGATAACTAATCCTACTAACAGGAGAGAATGAAAAACTTGTTAAATCAAACTTCAAAGTATGCTTTCCATAATCCAAAAAGATCCAGTATTGCACAAAACAAGTTTTAGCATATTTCTGATAAAAACAATCACATCAAGTAACTCTATAATAATGTCACCTCTTAAGATCCTGTTCTCCTAGTGCATATGAGTCCCTGGAAAGGCTCAAACATCACACAGCTGCCATCACGTCACATTAAGGGCAGCCAGTGATTTCACAAGTTACTGGACAGGAAATTGTCAGGGGGGAGAGTGCAAACACCACCCTCTCCCTGCCAAGAAAGGCAATTCCCTTATTCATTTTTCTTTGCTAATATTATTTTGTGTCCTAGACTAAGGCACCTCTTCTTGCAGCAGTACTTTCCACATCTTCTTCTTCTTTTGTCAACTTCTTAGGTCAGTTTCTTTCTTTCCCAATACTGTGATCTCTTCAACTTTTATTACCATTTATACTCAACAACGAACAAAGCTCAAAGCACTGCATAGACTGTGTCTACAGCATTTCTGTATGAAGTAACTTACTTCCTTAAATTAATCTCAGTTTTCTACATTCATCTGTTCACTCGTAATAGCATTACAGCAGCCTTCCAGTACCTGAAGGGGCCTACAAGAGAGCTGGAGGGAGACTTTTTACAAGGGAATGTGATGACAGCACAAGGGGCAATGCCTTTACACTGAAAGAGGATAGATTTAGGTTAGACATCAGGAAGGAATTCTTCCCGGAGAGGGTGGTGAGGCACTGGGACAGGCTGCCCAGAGAAGCTGTGGATGCCCCATCCCTGGAAGTGTTCAAGGCCAGGCTGGATGAGGCTTTGAGCAACCTGGTCTAGTGGAAGGTGTCCCTGCCCATGGCAGGGGGGTTGGAACCAGATGGTCTTTAAGATCCCTTCCAACTCAAACCATCCTGTGATTCTATGATAATTCAGAAAACCAAACAGAGTTGGAAGGAGAACAAGACAACAGTTCAAAATTCCCTATAGAAACTACTGACCCAAGAAATAGGTCCCACTGTTCACAGCAATCACGGCCATGATCATGTCAAGTATCTGCCAGGTGTTCAGAAACACTGCCAGTGTTAGGTTTCTGGAAGTTTCTTGGGACCTCCTATATTGCACTTCCCAACTAAGTGGTTTTATGGCAACGGTATAGTCTTTACATTAGCAAGGACAGCAGATGAGGGAGTGTGTTTGCAGAGCAAACTGCTGGTGTTAAGACTGCCATCTGCACTGTAAGCACCTCCCAGACTAGTTTTAACTGGAAGGAAATCAATTCATGTGCCCAAAGTCTGCTCTTATATGTGTGCAAATACATGCTAAGTAGGGACAGTCAGGAGATCTCCTTCCTAGTACATTCCTGATCTCAACTAGAATGCTATCCTATGCATCCAACTCTCCAACAAAGAGTGTCTGCTCTCACTGTTTAGGGGATGGGTCGCTTTTAGTAAACTAAACCATTTACCAGATAAGAAAAGCACTAACCAGCTTTGTGTTGAAAAGGTGTTGCCTTCTTAAAGAGTTTTTTCCTCTGTTCATCACCATGATATTCTGTGGGAAATTCTGTTTCTTGTTTCAGGAGGAAAGCTCAATGAATTAGGTTAGTTAAGTATTCATATACATGTAGGAAAGCATCAAACACAGTAAATACACATGGATTGGATGGGTACTGCAAAGGCAGTTCTCCTGTGTGAGGTGACTGAACCAGATGGACACAGAGTGACCATGTGCACATGGCCAGCCCTCATGCTAATTCCAAGTCTCCAAAATGATCATTAAGATTTCCAGGTTCAAGACATGCAAAACTCATGTAACATTTCAGTTTGATGGAATTTTGTTCTGCCAAGAGATTTGTGAATTACACTGTGATTCTGGAATATGCTCTTTTAGACAATCATGCTCAAGCTCTGAAATCAACTTCACCTTGACAACAGTTATATGCTACCAAAACTGCTCTCACGTACCACCCCTACCCTCTCCCTCATTCTCCCCAGGCTTTACTAATCAGGGATTTACTAGATATGTTGTGGATATAGAACACTGAAGCTAAGCACCTTAATTATACTGTGGGATGCTTTTACCTATTACCTCTATTATCTAACTGGAATTTCTATGTTCCAATTTGTTCCTAACAAGTTCCTAGAGCCTTCAGCTCTATCCCTCAGCACCTCCTGGACGCCAGCTTGGTACACTCTGCTGGACTTGCTCCAGTACGATAGTGCCTTTCAGTACTGCAGGGTCCAGAACACCACAGTACTCCACATTCAGTCTCACAAGAGCCTAGCAGAGGTGAAGGATCGCTTCCTGGACCTGTTAGCTACAGTCTTACTAATACAGTCCTAAGAAGCTGAAGAACCTTACTACCAGTCAACATAGGACCATGCCCTGGGAGAAGATTCAGGAAGCCAAGAGAACTGCCAGAAAAGCATCCTCCAGGAGCCAATGTCAGAAACTCAGGGGAGCTGTAACAACTAAGAGTCAAAGAGAACGATGCAGGCAGACACAGGAACTTGTGACTGCTCTGTAAGAGAACTTGTGAGAAAGTCTTCACTAAGCTAAGCTGAAGTAGGCCAACAAAGCAATGATGCTAGCTCAAAGGAAGTGAAATACAGACCTCATTAAAGAATTCATATAAGACCAGTGTAACTACAGACACACAACGTAATACAAAACACACAAGCAACATCATGCTCGACAGTGGAACCTAGAAAGCATCAGGTATTAAAAACTTACTTTCCAGGTCATCTTCAAATATTTCTTCTATTATGACATCAGGGCTGGGTGGAGCCTTGGGCAGAGCAGGAATACTGTGATGACATATCATAGGAAGTGTTTCTTGTATCTGAGTATTTTTCAATTCTTTGTGAATGCGGAGTTTATTTGCAAGGGACTTTATTTTACTTTCTTTGCTAAGCCCTGGAAACATATTCTCTGCAGATGATCGAGTACCATAGCCCGGCATTTTTTCTTTGACATCAAGAACAAGACTGTGTTCTCCAGTATCTTCACTACTTGGGAAAAAAAGTATTTGGAGACAGATTAATATAACCCAGTCTGTTTTGAGAAAAGCACACAAATCAAAGCTGAGATTCTTAAGGACACATCACTGTTAAGAAAACACCTCTTGAGAACTGGTTGACATAAACTGCATTATGTTTTCTGAATACCAAGACTACAAGAACAATAACATCCCTTCCAACCCAAGCTATTCTACAACTTCTGGAAGCTAAAAAGGATTGGCACAGAAATGGCACATATCCTTGGGCACAGACAGCTCACTACAAGAGCTACCCCTGCTTAAATGATCCAACAGAGATCACAGGTACAAACTGTTTGAAAAAATATTAATAATGTGATAGACAGTTCATGTTAAAAGCAAAAGACATGTCAGAAGTTTTTGTACTGTTACTCTTCACTGTAAGCTGAACGATATTCAAATATTACTGTATGCAATTACTTTTTAACACAACCAGTGCTAACTACAACATCCCTAAAAGCAACTCTGCTCCATTTTCTCAAGTTTTTGTCAAAGACTGTGGGAAAAATAAAGGAGACTAATAAAATAATTTATAATATTTAAAATCAGTCATCTAAGTCATCTTAAGTAATTTAATTTGGTATTTGATGCACTTAGTGTTTAGACTGTGAAGGTGAAATACTATAAATTTCAGTATTTACTGAGAGATGTAATTACATTTATATGATATTATTTCCATATGCAGAAATTATAAACATCTCGTGTATTATGAATGTGTAGATGTGGTGCTTGGAGACATGGTTTAGTGCTGGACTTGGCAGCGTTAGGTTTATGGCTGGACTCAAAGGCCTTTTCCAACCTAAAGGATTCTATGATTCTATCATTAAATGTCAGCCAAAGCTGACAAGCACAGAGTATAAAAAGAAGATGTCGGTGCCCTAAGTGATATGATGAAATATAGCTGGGCAAAACACAAGTGAAACTGAAATGTCAGAACTGAAACACTAACTGGATTAACTGGAATGCTGACTGAAATAGCAGAATCTGAAGTTTTGCTTTCATCATTCTCTTGGAAACCCATATGCATATACAGATTAAAAAAAAAATATCTCCAACAAATATTTAACCGTTAGAAGACATAAGTTACTGTACCTATCCTCCGTATTACAAAATATACTTACTGCCCTGCTGTTCCCCATTCAATCTTGCCCAAATTATTTAACAGAGGTGTAATTTCATCAGTGTTCAGGAAGAATCTTGAGAGAAGAAGCATTACAGAAGTTGACATGAATACCTAAATCACACTGACAGTTTTAAGATATACAACATTTTTCAGCACAATATTTCATGGTGGGGCAAAATAAGAGATTAATTACATACTCCAGTTTCATTCTTCCACTCCTAGTAACAACAGATTTGGTTGCTCATTTATCTTCACATTCATACCTAAAAACTCTCTTGCCTTTGGCTTTCTCCCTCATGCACAGTACTTCAGTGTTCACCTACTGAGTTTTCACACCTACAACCAGTTTAGTTCAGCAAATTATTTTGCACAGAGAAAAAGAATTCTCCAACAGTCCTGAAGAACAACACTATAACTGAAGTCCAAAATACACATCCTTTTTGTTCTCTTTACTGTTTCACTAACAAACAGCCCTTTCCTTTACCAATGAAAGCTAGCAAAATCTTTTAAGCACTTTTAGAGTTAGGCTAACAGAACTGTAAATACCGCTTCATTCAATCAAATTCTTAGCTTTGCTGTCCAGTTATAATGAACAATTTGTAAAAACTGAAGAGTAAGCAGCATTGAACATCATTTCTTTCTAAAATACGATAGTATTTGAGGTCCACAGAATGTGCCTCAACTCCTATGCATCTCTGAGCTGCTATTTTTTCACCTTTGGTGTGATTTTGGAGTGGCACCAGCATTCGAGGCCTTTATGCTCATCCTTCACCAGATCTCCTTTTCCCCTCTTTCGTTCAAGTTCTTAAAAGGTCTTCTAATGCAAATTTGATCTTGTCATGTTTTAGCTTTCTTCTAGGGTAGGATTTTGCTGTTGCTAAGTTAAATAGGCTTCTCTGAAATTCTCATTCAAGACTGACATCTTCAAAATAGGCCCTACCTACCAAGTTTACTAAAATCTGTATTCTAACTCCACTAACATATGACAGGAGTCATAATTTTTGTCAAGCATTGGTACAGGCTTCCCAGGGAAGTGGCTGAGTCATCGTCCTTGGAGGTATCTGGCTGAGATCTGGGGCTGTTCAGCCTGGAGAAGAAAAGGCTGCAGGGACACCTTATTGCAGCCTTTCAATACCTAAAGGGGATTTACAGGAAAGACTAGGACAGATTTTCTAGTAGGGCCTGTAGTGACAGGACAAAGGATAATGGCTTTAAACTAAAAGATGGTAGACTTAGACTAGATATAAGGAATAAGGTTTTTACGATGAGGGTGGTGAAGCACTGGAACAGGTTGCCAAGAGACGTGGCAGATGTCTCATCCCCGGAAACATTCAAGGTCAGGTTGGAAGGGGCTCTGCACAACCTGATCTGGTGGAAGATGTCCCTAGATGGCCTTTAAGGGTCCCTTCCAACCCAAACCATTCTACAACGTAAGATGTGTAGCCATGGCACTTAGGGATGCAGTTTAGTGGTGGACTGGGCAGTGCTAGGTTAAAGATGGACTCGATCTTAAGGGCCTCTTCCAAGCTAAATAATTCTATGATCATTTCTCACACTTTGCATGCAAGTAGTCAACTCTGAGCTTCACTCCTCTGTGCCAGTCAGAATCTGATAGCACACAACCAGTCCAGTCTCCAGAGCAGTTCCATGTCCTGAAATATAATGGTCTCCCCAAGATGTTCCAACCTAACACCATCTTTGTTCTGTCCCTCCTTCATCATTCCTGAATGTGGTCTTTGTAACGCTAGGATTACAGTACCCTGACCAGCCTCATGACCAAGCTGCACAGCGTCAGTCGTACCACAGCCACGGCACATTTTCTTGTCCATTTCTGGTACAGAAATCGCATTTGTCACTTCCAATGAGGGCAACATAGGAACTGGGATTTTCTGCAAATTAGTGCCCCAAAAAGCATTTTTGTCTTTCCTGATGATGAGAAGTAGATTTTTTTTTTTTTTTAATAATTAAGCCATTATTTCTCAATTTATTTCTACTTATAAAGGCAGGAGAGAAAGTTTAGGAGAGGCAGAAATTTGTCAAGAATCTTTTAAATGCATATATATCCATTCACATAGCAGTAAATGGTATGTGTTTCTCCCTCATGCCTCAGATGAAGGCTACTGTGCATTGCTAGTGATGAGATTCTGTACATCTGAACTAGCAGCTTTTCAGTAAAATACAAATGAAGCATCTCTATTTCTGCTGTTTAACTGTTAAATCAACAGTTCTTGTAATAAAGATAACCAGTGCATCCATTTACCTCCTGCTCCAGTCACTTACCTTGGAGGTACTCTTTCCTTCAAACTATTCACTTGTGAGACTTCAGCCTCAACGGGTGACTTTAAATCATAAATAACCTGAAATTAAGAAGTACAGTCTTAGCTTCCATTATACAAAAGCAGCTTACACAGGCACCCATTATCTACAACATGACAAAGCCAGAATACGACATCTTTAACTTTACAGGAAACCCCCCCTAGAGTTTACTCATCAGCAGCCAACAGCCAGTTCTCAACTACTTCTCACATGACTAAGGCCTAACGGTTGGGCATTCTGTAACGTTAGCATGTACGCAGAAGCAGGAGTCAGGTTTTCCTTTTGTATGAACAGCTGTGAGAAGGTGACTTCTAAGTAAGAAGGTAGGCCTACGGGAGGGCAGTGGTGGGTGCTACCTCCCACAAGTCACACTGGGCAAGAGGGAGGCAAATGACAGGAAAAAAGGAGGGAACAGACATCTTTTCTGGCTCAGATGAGAAAGGTTAAGTTTTTTTCACACAGAAAGTGACAACTGGATGCAGGGAACATGACAGTCTAGAAGAATGACGAGCCCAATTGTTCGTTATTTTTCACAACACAAGGACTACAAAGGCTCCAAATGAAGTAACTGGGTAACAGATTTAGAAAGACCAGAGGGAGCTACTTTACATACACCTCATTTTAAATACTAAAATGTGGAACTGCCACTGAGTATGAATACATACATAAAATGCACATATGTACACATACTGCCACAAGCATTATGAATACATTTAAGGAGGTGTTACTCGTCCTTATGACAGAATGAGGTAGTATTTACTCAGTGTAATGACCCTAATGTCTCCTACTGATTAGAAAATCCTCAGCCTTCAACCTCCTACACTCACTAAATGTGCAGGTTCTTAGATTCTTCCTCCAACCACTTCTTCCTCTCTGTTGTCAAAGACAGGAGACTTTACAGGATGGGCCTTTGGTGGGATACAGCATGACAAGTAGTGGGTGTTTCTGTGAACAGCAGGTATGATGGGGAGGAAGAACTGAAGTAAAGGAAGAACTGAAGTAAAGGCCTGGGACCAAGAGGATCAGGAGAGTGTGGCTATTAATTCTGGAGGAGTTCAGCGAGAAGGTTTGAGTGCTCTGGCATAGGAAAGACTTGAGAGATTTCTAAAGTGCCAAAACCACTACCCTTTCACTGATTAGTACTGTGTCTTTTCCTGTCCTCCCCCTCCATTCGCTGTTTCAGGTAGCAAGCCCTTGAGGCAAGAACCATTTTTTTCGTTTCACATCAATCCCCAGACCCTAATTTGAGACCAGGACCACACACAAACTGGGTGTGTGTATGCAGAGCTGAGGTAAGAACACATTACTGCAAACATCTCAGTATCAAAGGCAGCAAACTGAAAGACTGATCACAGAAACTTTCAATCCAACTTTGAATGTATTAGTTTACAGCAAATTATTTCACAGTGCAAGAAGGTAACTACCTGAGTGAGATCACAATAGGTTCTTACAGAAGGTGTAATTTTTAATTCATTTGCAATCCTAATGATACCAATCAAGCACTTTCTCTTCTCTCCAATGACTTCCTTAGCTTTTGCAATAGCAGCACTGTAGTTGCTGATGCTCTTTACCAATTCTGCACACAAGTTCCTTTTCCTGTATTAAAAACATTACTTCTCAGAATTCAATAAGCACACAGCCATACAGAGTCAAACTTCAACTATAACACACAATTGCCAGTTACACTACAATTCAAAGTGGGCACATCATACACAGAAATACCATTTTCCTCAGACAGTGGAAGGTGGAAAGCATGAAAAGCCCATTTAATAATTGGAGGAACCACAAAAGTTGAGTTCACACTGTAAAGCCACTTCACTTGGAGAAACATCTTTTTATCAAATGTTTAAAGGAGCCTTTCATTCAAGCCTCCTGATATTTCCATACACATCCAACTGAAAACTGAACAGCTGGATTTTACAATTCAGTCTATTAAGACATCAGGGCCCCTTCTCAGAGGCTCTTCTGGAATCCTAAGCTTTGACACCTCCCCCAGCCCCCACATCTGAAGATACGAGTATGTTTGAAAATAAACAATAAAGCATTCTTGGGCTTCAGTCAGCTTGAAAATTTGCAGATCAGTGTTTCAGAAGTTATTCTTGCTGTTAAACTGATCATCCACTAATGGCAGTAACAAAAAGCCCTCATAATTGTACTATTTCAGAAAAGTAACTTCATTAAGACTATTCTAATTTTTTTTTAAAGAGCAGAGGCTGTATACACTTCTGTTTTCCAACCATGCAAACCTTCCAAGATGCCACTATGAAAGGGCAAAAATGGTGCACAAAATTTAAAGATGAGTACTATGAAATACTGCTACAAGAAAGACTGCTATTTCATACAGAATGCTTTTATCTGAATTGAAACAACTTCTTGATTAAAATGACTCACCCCTGCCATTCTACAACCCAGATTACTACCTTGACAGAAGAGAAGTAGTAAGTTCATCAAACGTTCTAACAGCAGTTTCTGCAATTTTGTCTCCTTCCTGCTTCACTTTCAATTCCAAGTATTTCAGCATCTATTTAATTAAGTATTAATTAAACATGCATTTATTATTTCATTATTATTATTATTTCATTATTCTCACATTAGTATTTTTTTTAAATTCAAAACAGCACAGAAGCAATGAGCAGTAAGACAGTGATCAATATTCCAGCAGAAAGAGTGACATTAAACCCCACTATGTTTGCCAGACAAAAAACTCAAAACAAAAAAACCCAACAAAAACACAATGCAGGAAAATTATAGTTCATTAAGCCCTTTGTTTTCTCTAACTTCTAGTCAGCTCGCATTGTCTGGATCCTCATGTCAACTGAAGTCTTTAGGTCTATGAGGCAAGAAACATACAGATAGACCTTGGGCCCACTGCCTCACCTTCCTTAATTGACATTCTAATATAGCACCATATACACAGATAACTTGCACACTAAGAATTTTACTATTTTTTTAAACTCATTGTGAGCATAAAGGGAAAAAAACCCCAAAGATTCTTCCTCTGGCTGATCAACAGTTTTGTCGCTGTGGTTACATTTGACAAAGAGACTACGGAACAGTATCAGTAATTCAACACTGCTTCGGCAATTCTGTCTTTGTGGAAAAGCTACTGGAAGACCAGAGTTGTACACGTGAGTTGTTACATTAGAGCTGCTGAAATGCTAGGCTTTGACAAGATGCTATTAATATATGAATTAGGTATTTAATAAACTTTAATTAGGTGACAGATTGTTGAAGTCGGCCACTGCAACAAAACCAGTTAGAAAGAGAATGGAAAACAGGTTTTAAGGACACTTCATGCCACAGTTTGCTTTAAGCTTTTAGATAATTAAACACGTCTATGCCTGGGTATAGTAGAATACATACAAAATGTCAATAAACGGCAAAGATAGGACTGCAAGCTTTGCCACAGCACGTTTAATAAGAGCTAAAGTTGTAATACAGTAATTAGCACTGATGTAGTTCATAAGTTACTCAGTAAATACTACTAACAGCATTACCCAGTATTTTAGGATTCTTCCTATATTCCATACTGTGCGTAAAAAATGCATTACTTGATTTACAGAGTTTGCATATTGTGTGTTAAAATTATTACTTTTGTTACTTTGTCAGATAATTTCTTTTCCACCTTGAAATCCAGGAAAAGGCACATGAAAATTAGACCGGTGACACAGTCATCAGAGCAAAAACAAATGCTGAATTTTACCCTGATCCAAAGAACCACAAGCTTAGTACTTAAAAACTGACTTATATACGATTCTGCTAAACATACAGTTACGCATAGGCTCACGTGCTCCTTTACTTCTACTAAAGTCTGGAGTTTAAAGTGGTATATTCACAGAAATAGCACAAACAGCTGAAGGACAGAAGAGATGTCAAAACAAAAGCAGGTTTAAATACGTGACTAATCATAATAAAAAACTTCAATTAAGGATATCGTTTAAAGTTTCATGATTTATTCAACTTATTTTCACCCACCTCATCTGCATCATATAAGTGGCTGAGATTATAAATAGCTATGCACAAAGCTTCATCGATATCTTCCACAGTTTTGCTGTCCTGGGGAAAGATTTGCCAATGAATATAAAGTTGCTTGCACGACCAGAAGAGAGGATGGGTTATACTCATTTGCCATTTTGACAACGAGGCACTTGATGTGGGTGACTGATGATCTGTCTAAGGCCCAAAATACTTCTCTCACCTGAATTACTAAGAATATTTACATTGTAGTATTTCTGAAACATGGATTCATATTTTTTTGTTTGTTAAATACATGCAATTTATTTGTGCACACACACACACAAAAAAAACCCAAACAAAAAACAAAACCAAACCCCCCAACCATATGAAAAGGAAAAGCAAAACGAAGTTACTAATATAGAAGAAAGAAAACATGCAAGACTGAAAAATGGGAGTAGTACAGCCTAGAAAAAGTAAAATATTTAAGAATATCATTTGGGGAAAACCAACAAAAATAAGAAAATTTAATAAGCTCCCAGCATTATGCTGATACAAGAGAAAAAAGAATAAAATACTTGTGTATGAATCAGCACAGAAGCAAAAATATGCAGAAATTCACTGGCACTAGTAAGGCCAGCATCAAGAGTACTGGTTAGAGTGCTGGCATTTTGCTGAAAGCAAAACGAGAGTGTCATCAGCCAGGGATGCGCCCACAAAATCAGGGATGGTGCTGTGCAAGTCTGTCACTATTAGGCAACCAGTTCACCTTGCCAAAAGGCAACTTAATTAACACGCAAGCATCCCCCGTTTTGGAAGGGTTCCTCACTAGTGCTAAGGAGAGCAAACAAACTAGGGAGAAAGGAAGGCTTGGAGTTCTAAAACATGACATAGTTCTGCCCTGACCAGACACTGGTGTAAGTGAGAAGTGGTGTTGCCCACAGTCTGGGAGAGATCTGTTAGTCACACAGATCATTATAGAATTTATTAAGATGTTTCTTGTCACCCTCATGTCTAGAACAGCTTTCCAATTAATGTATCTGACCATCTCAGATCAATTATGCCTCCTTCCTAGGAGCAGAAAAGGGAATCATAGAATCATAGAATGGTTAGGGTTGGAAGGGACCTTAAAGATCATCTAGTTCCAACCCCCCCTCCCATTGTGATGTGGATGTTAACTTGTGTGGGAATACTTCCCTGTTACAGCTATTCTTACTCTTATTTTGAGCAGATGCAAGGAGACCTAATGGGTAAAAATGTCATAGAATTACACTGCTCCCTCTCTGCTTCATGGGTCTCATTATGATCAAGGACACTAATAAAAATCCTTCCAGAAGTCAAGACATGGATGTATTCATTCAGTAAGAAATGATACTGCCAAAGGCGTACTAATCACCAACCACAAAATAAAGGAGCCTGAAAAAACGCTTAAGAAACAGACGTAGCAGTCAGACTACAATCTCAGTAAATGTGGGTTTTCACATGAGCTCATTCTCAACAACTTTCTCCAAAACTAAGAAAATATTCTGTCAACAGATGAGATGTCTACCATCAAAATGTTACTTAAGACCTCAAACTCAAGATACTTCAAAGATAACCTCAGGCTATTTCCTTTACTATTTTGTCAACAGTAATATATTGAAGTTTCAGATAATATGATATGGCCTGATTTCCAATCAACTCTTCCAAAAATGTTCAGAAGAGAAAACCAGTTTCAAGCTTTTAATGGGCACTATAACAAAACGACCTGAGAAACCAAGACAGACATTTGCAAGTTATGATTCTTTCAAGGTAACTGTACAGGACAATCAGCCATCCTCTCCACAGGATGGCACAGGATGTATCAGACATTTCCAGTTAATTCTATCATTTTAAAATATGTGCATTAGTTCACTTGGCCTAAAACTCCACAAAGCTCGCAACACATTAGAAAAAACCTTGCAGCCTTAATAGTTTAGAAATGCAGTATTAGCTATGCATATACAAGTAACAAGTGAGACGATAAGGAAATTCCACATTGACACACCATGTCTGCTGATGAAGCTAGAGCTGGTTTATCCCTCAGCCCAACATTTGAAGAAACTGGGTGCTGAACATTTTTCTCTGCAGTACTGAGATGGAAGGGCCTGCAAAACAAATCTTTAAGGGAAAAACCTACACATTTTAAATAAAACATAAAACTTCCCACAAATATTTTAGACACAGTTTATTTCAAAATCTATCATTACATACATATACACACCTATTTTTAAAACTGTAGAATTCACACTGTGATATACTACAGATAGCTCTTCCTTCAAAGTTTCCTTTCTACTAGCGTCATCTTAAAATTACTCTTCAGTAACTATTCTTCATCTGACAATTTTGGCAAGACTGAACAAAACCTTAGTAGGTGGCAGTGATTTTTAGCGTTAACGATAGTAAATCTCAGGACTATTAAGATTCAGGATTAATTTTTCATTTGTTGCCCAAATATTTTCCTTTAAATATCCCATCAGATATTGATTAGGCTGTTAAAATCTTTAGAATACATGACAGATTATACTAAACCCATCCACTGACAACTGGTTAGGAAGGCTCTTAAATTCTGTTACATGGTCACTCATCCCAGCTCTTCTGCAAAGTACACATGGGTATGAACAGCTGTCACCACTCTCCCTGTCTGCATAAACCAGCCTCATTACAGGAAGGAAGCTCTGCACTGTCCTTCCTGTGCTCAGTCTGTCGTTCCAGATATGAAATCTGGAGTTTGTATTTTACTTCAGGCAAGGTCAGGAATGCATGTTACATGCTCCAATCTCAGAAGATAAAATTTATGGAATCATAGAATGGTTTAGGTTGGAAGGGACCTTAAAGATCATCTAGTTCCAACTCCCCTGCCATGGGCAGGGACACCTTCCACTAGACCAGGTTGCTCTAAGCCTCATCCAGCCTGGCCTTGAACACTTCCAGGGATGAGGCATCCACAGCTTCTCTGGGCAACCTGTTCCAGTGCCTCACCACCCTCTCTGTGAAGAACTTCTTCCTGATATCTAATCTAAACCTCCCCGCTTTCAATTTAAATCCGTTACCCCTTGCCCTATCACTACAGGCCCATATAAAAAGTACCCCTCCCAGCTTCCTTGTAGGCTCCCTACAACTCCCTTACAGAACAGATCTGTACAGAACACACCCCTTATGTAACCCATCTGTAAGAATTACCTAGGCCTACTGCCATTTGTACCAACAGGAATCTCCTGCAGCAATGGCAGTGAGGGGAAATGACACCCACGTTGAGACTTACTTCAGCTTCGCGTAGGCTAAACAAATACGCAAGTTAATGTAATTGGATATGACAATAACACCAAGCACTCCTGGCATCTCATCTCTAGAGAGGTCACTGTTTACGCAGAGGGCGCAACGGGAGCAGCAGAGGGGCAGAAGGAAGGGGATAAGAGATGCTGCAATGATACAGGCCTTCCTATCACAGCCTGGCACTTCAGCAATTCTCCACTCTCCCTCTGAACCCTTATCAGGGAGTTAACACCAAACATTTTCAAGACAAAACAATCTGTTTCTTGCTGCCTTTCAATTAAACATTATTTATACTGAAATGTTAAGCAAGTTTTATTTCCACACTACTAGACACCCATGCTGAGAACACGTTAGCAAAGTCTAATGAATACATTAAAAAAAACATAATTAAAAAATCATCCCAAGTAAACCAGCAGGAAATGCTTGCTCAGTCAAATCCTCTCGCGGTCTGGTATCTAAACACATAAAAAACAGCTGAGTTAAAGGTTTACCTTGTTAGCCTTTCTGACTTGCCACTGCACAGCCCAAGTTTAAAATCAGTTCTGGTCTACATTCAGAGGGAAAAAAAGTAAAGCAAGTTCAAACATAGGGTTAAATCCGAGTCCCTGTCAAAAAAGGTGTTCTACAAACCTGTTTTCACCTTTAGTACCCACCCCCCCACTGCAATGAGACCAAGCTTCCAAGCAAGTGCTGTTTAACTGAGCACGGAGAGGTGTAAGTAAACAGCTTGCGAGCCAAATCTCCGTAGCTATTAGTGTCTCTTTGTCATAAATGAGAAGTGTTTCTAGTAAAATGCTCATTTCCTGCTTGCTCTTAGTGTTTTTTCCACTAGTATTCAAAACTTCTAACATACTGCATTACTGAACCCAATTACAACTTATTTTTTCAATAAAGTTTAATGACAGGGCTGAATTATAAAGATCTGACTTATTTGTATTTTGCAATAAAGATTAAATCTGAATTTCATAACACCTTATGTTTTGCATAAATTAGAAATTTAAAAAGCACTTGTTTGTCCAAAACACAGTTTTCCATAAAACAAATGGAATTAGCATGTCATAGCACAGAAAAGATTCATAAGCATAGTATTTTTTAATGCAGAAACAGAATTAGATCCCTAAGTTATTCACTACAATGCAAAGTGAAGTTGTCGGTGTTTCTTTTTTTTTTTTTTTGTAATTACGTTTTAAGTCCTTTTATTTGGCCGCT